AAAAAAAAAAAAAAAAGAAGTTAGCATCTCGCAGACCATGCCTCACTGCTGCCAATTTTATCCCACGGATGTCTGAGGTGTCAGGCCCCAGGCATGATGCTGGAGATATGAATGATTCATAAAAGCAAATGCCTGGTTTAGAATTTCATTTAAAATGCCCTCAAAAATAATATTTCATTTTCATACCACATTTCAGGAGAATTTAGGAAATAAAACCTTTAGTGAGAAAATGCTCTGCTAGCTCCCAAGAAGGCCCTTCATTAAGAATCTGGAAAGATCTCTGTTTCAATCTTTTCCAGGCACTTTATCATTAAAAAAAAAAAAAAAAAGTCACATTCCAGAGCAGCCACGTCCTAAAGTCAAGAGATCTAAAAGTTCTTTCAGCGTCCTTTGTTCCCCAGGCCAGGGGAGGGCCAGGACGGTTTGCCCTAGAACAGCACTCACCTCAGTTCCTGATAAGATTGCAAGAGCTTTGCTCCGGCGGTCCCGTGTTTGCCTGGAAGAGATATCAGCAAAGGTCATTCATTAGTAAGAAGACAACCTTGGTGATGCAAACACAGAAAGCAATCAATTAAAATTATTATTTTTCTAATACCACTTCTTGCAATTAAAAAGTAAAAGACCATCTTGGGATGATAGAAATGCTCTAAAGTTCGACTGTGCTGATGGTCACACAACTCCGTAAATTTGCTAAAAACAATTAAATTATATAATATGTTAAAAAACAGCTGATGTTTATGCTCTATAAACTACATCCCACAAAAGTTGTTAAAAATGCAGACATAAACACATACATACACATAATTGCTGGGAACGACTGCTTTTATTAAGAGTTGACGTAGGGTTAGATTTTCTAAATCTGGAAAATCTGAAAAGCAGTCCAAGCTTCCAAGCTTCCATTTGTCCTTTGGAAACATTTAATAATAGCATGACTATATTCCTTTAAACATTCCTTGTTATGGGGATTAAATTAATCTGTTAAAAAATGTAATCTTCTTATTTCTAGTTATAGAGGCTAATAATTTCCTAAATAAGACTGCTTCTGATATAGTACTCTTTTTGTTTCAAGGCAAGGGGATTTTATGATGTATTAGGACCCCAAAAATAGAACTCTCCATAGTTCTGTGAACACAATGTTTCCTGGCCCAGTGCATAGGAAGAGGGTAGTCTGCCCAGCCGGCCTCCACCCTGCCTGACACAGGGCTGGGAACCGCCAAGCCTGCCATGCTGTCTAGCTCCCGTGGGGTGTGTGTGAAGGTTTTAATCCACCCCCAAGAAAGACTTACATACATATTCACATCACCTCCATCAGATGAGAAGCAGGGCAGGGAGGACTTGGGGCGTGGGGGGTGGCGGGAGGCAAGGGACTCTGATATCAAGGACCGAACCCTAAAGCCAGGAGGAAGCTGACCCCCAGGGGAGGGGTTCCTAACTGGAGCCGACCTCAGGGAGTGTGTGAGCCCCGAACTCACAGGTCAAACTCCGAGTCTCCCTGTCTGTGTGCATTTGGGGGCGGGGGTCGATGATGGTGTTCCCCAGATTCTCGAAAGCGTCCGCGAGCCCTCCCCCGCTCCCACTAATGCTTCTCTAAGGCCGATGGGAAAGGCAGCCCCACAGGCCGAGAGCTGCACCCCAGAATCGGCCTGTAACGGATGAAAGCCCACACCCGCAGGAGCCACTGGAAAGAAAACCACGAGGCCAGAAGAACAAGAGAACGACCCTAACTGCTTCACGGTCGGTTGTCATGAAAGCAGAGAAAAACAAGGCAAAGAAAAAGAAAAACTAGAGACACTGTGTATCCAGGGTGTCCTGGGTGAAAAGGCAGACCCCACCAGGGGACAGCGAGTTCGGAGCCCTCCTGGGGGTCGGCGGGTGCGCTCACCGCTCACCGCGGCTTGTGGCTCCCTTCCAGCCCACCTGTCTGCTCAGACGCTCAGCATCTTGTCCCTGGATTGTGGTGACAGTGTCCCCAAGGCACAGCCACCAGTCACAGCGCACCCCCCCGCCCCATCGATGCTATCGTTCTACTGCCTAAAGCTCTTCAGTGACCCCTTACTGCCATTGCCCAAAGTCCAAGCCCCACGCAGCATCCCGGGGCCTCCACATGCGCCCCTGGGCCCCCCTTCTCCGGCCCGGCTTCCCTGCCTGCATAGACATTGTCTACTCACTCCCACTTACCCCCACCTCACCTCCTAGCGCCCACTGCCTGGGCATTTCTACCTCAGGCCCCTACCTCCATCTTCAACTTCAGCTTAGTCCCGCGACACCCCATTTCTCTATACCCCTCCTGAGGTCCTAGCGAAGGCCTGGCCACAAACGGCTCTCTGCTGCCCCCTGCTGGCCGCTTCGGGCCTGGCACGCCGCGCTGTGGGCTCCGCAAACCCCCTCCGCAGAGACAAGTATTCTGGGCTCTACACAGTCTCTGTCCTCTGCCGCTGTGACAGCAGCCATACACAGTATTAGGGTTGCTGGAGGGGACGCGGGGGGATGGGGTACCTGGGTGATGGGCACTGGGGAGGGCACGTGACGGAATGCGCACTGGGGGTTACGTGCCGCTGATGAATCCCCCAACTCCACCTCTGAAACTAGGAACACACTATATGTTAGTTAACTGAATTTAAATAAAATTTTAAAATAAAATTAAAAAAAATAAAGAGTGGGCATGTCTGTGCCCCAATAAAACTTGATGGACCTTGAAATTTGAATTTCATGGCTTTTTTATAGGTTACAACTATTTTGACAGTTCCAAATTGTAAAACTCATTCTTAACTCACAGGACATACAAAAATGGGCAGAAGGACAGGTCTGGCCCTCGGGTCCTACTGCACCCCCATATCGTTGCTACTCCAAGTGTGGGCTGCGCTGCCCGCTGCACTCCCAACTGGGAGCCTGTCAACAATGCAGAGTCCTGGGCCCAGCCCCGCTGCACGGAACCAAGGGCCGTTCGCTGAAGTTTGGGAAGCGTTGCCCTGTTTATTTCCATGTTGCTTCCTCCTCTATTCCCTCACTTGTTTCTTATCAGAGGCTTCCTTCAAAAGCACTACTGACTTTCGGTTAACATAACAATGCACGTTAACAGGGGCACCTGGGTGGCTCAGCCCTGGGCTCTGGACTGTTGATCTCAGCTCAGGTCACCATCTCAGGGTTGTGGGACTGAGCCCCACATTGGGCTCCACACTCGGCACAGAGTCTGCTTGAGATTCTCTCCCTCCACCTCTCCTCCCCCTGCTCCATCTCACACTCTCTCTGAAAAAAAATAAAATAACCATGCATGTAACCACGGGGAGGAAACGCGCAGAAAAGGATGCCCTCCCAGGCGTCCTGAGAGGCGGGGTGTCTGAAGCAGGGGCCTCGCTCTGCCACTCTGGCTGCCTCGTTGGGCCAGACGCTCGGCGGAGGAGCAGCTGTAGGTCGGCAGAGTCCAGGCTTCCAGTGCACGTCGAGAAGGCGCGCCCGCCGTTGATCAGCAGCTGACTGCACTGTGCCCAGCACAGGGCTCAATGTGCCTTTGCTTCTTGGGTTGTTTCCAGGGGTCGTCTCAATTTTATCAACGAAAACCGTGGCTTGCAGACATTTTGTAATGACAAAATACATACAAATGACAAAGCTGCCTTTCGCACCATGACTTGCCTACGAAGCCAGACACACACAAGTTAGGTGGGGAGCGGCGACTGGTACGCGGGGGTCTCCCGTTCTCTCTACTTTCCTCACGAGGGAAAATGTTCAAAATAAAAAGCAAGGGGAGAAACAACCACTTATAAACCAATGGCCAATGCCCGGAAAACGCTGAGATTCTTCATTTTAGACATGCTTTCTATTTGTTCTGTGTATCTCAGGCCACGTAAATCAAGGGACCAAGCCTGTGCACTGGGATTGGGGCATCCAGCCCTGGGTGTGAGCACTGTCCCTGCCCCTCTCGGGCTCCCCTTTCTCTCCTAGCCTGCCCCCTCCTCCCTACAACACCCCTCTCCAGGGCACAGGAGATGCCGTCCTTGGCTTGCAGCTCCCTGTCTACGTGGATACAACAGACAAGTTGTTCTGTGAATGAACTTCCTTGACTGGCATCCAAGGCTGCTATGCGTTGAGTTGTATCCCCTGAAAAGACATGTTGAAGTCCTAATCTTTCTTTTTTTTTTTTTTTACAATTTATTTATTTATTTTAGAGTGGGGAGGGACAGAGGGAGAGAATCTCAAGCAGACTCCCCGCCGAGCACGGAGTTCGACACAGGGCTCAATCCCACAACCCTGAGATCATGATCTGAGCCAAAATCAAGAGTCAGACGCTTAACTGACTGAGCCACCTGGGTGCCCTGAAGTCCTAATCTTTAGCACCTGTGACTGTGACCTTATTTGGAGAGTCTTGGCAGAGCAAGCTAAGGGGAGGTCGTTGGGATGGGCCCTAACACAATATGACTGGTGTCCTTATAAAAAGGGAAAATCTGGACACAGAGGTAGACATGCACACAGGGGAGAGGACATGAACACGGCCATGTGACAACAGAAGCAGAGACTGGAGTGATGTGTCCACAAGCCAACGGTTGCCAAGGATGACGGAGAACCAACTGAAGCTACGAGAGGTGGGAAAGACCCTCCCCTGGTGCTGGAAGGGGCAGCGTGGTCCCCCTGACCCTGGATTTTGGACTTGCAGCCCCCAGAACAGTGAGACAGCAACACACTTCCGCTGGTTGGAGCCACCAGTACTTTCCAGGGCTAGTTCCAGCAGCCCCACGAAAGGACCTACAGGGTCCTCTGTGCTTCAGTCCCTGCATGCCTCTCCAGGGTCTCCTTCTGCCATTCAGAGTATGTACCCCCGTCCCATTCGGAGGTACTGGTGAAGATGCCCGGTGCCCACTAGACTCTCCTCTTCCATGCTCCTTGCTCATGTGCCTCCACACCGCTGCACCAGTGGTTTATCCTCCGGGACCCGAGCCTGTCCTCACACGCTGCCGTGCACACTTCTCTACCAGTCCTCTGGCTTCGCTGTCATTGTGTGCATCTGTGTTGGTCTCCCTGACCAGGTGGAGAGCACCCCGAGGACACAGGTCTCCTCTTACGCCTGTTGGTGTCGCCAGCACCAGCGGAGAGTCTGTCGTGCGGGGGTGGGGGTTATAAATACAACAACAGCAACCAGAACTATTTTAACACAAAGCATTACCGCCTCATTTGAACTGTATGACCAAATATGTATGAAAAGAAGGTCATCGGGGCGCCTGGTGGTACAGTCGGTTAAGCGTCTGACTCTGTGATTTCGGCACAGGTCGTGATCTCAGGGTCGTGAGATCGAGCCCCACGTAAGGCTGTGTGCTCAGCGGGGAGTCTGCTTGAGATTCTCTCTCCCTCTGCCCCTCCCCACTTCTCGTGCTTGTTCGCGCTCTAAAATAAATAAATAAATCTTAAAAAAAAAAAAAAGAACATCACGATTTTTTTATGACCTGGCTTACATGTGACTCACCTGTTCATTCACATCCACCGTGTCAAAAGCATGGGAGCACTTCA